AGGGTCCAAGCTCGAGCTTGAATAAACAACCCTATGCTTTTGCAGTGGAATCGGCTCCTTGGTGGTCTTTGGGGAAACAGGGTCTGGGCACAACAGATTGCCCAACCTTCCTTCTGAGGAGTGGCTGGTGGGTTTGAATCACCAACCTTCTGTTTAGCAGTCAAGTGCCTTAGGCACTATGCTACCGGAGCCCATATGTAACTGCATTTGTATCTTGACTCTAAATATCTCATCATCTCTATCACTGCCTTTCAAGTCTTACTGAAAACCAAAACTAAACCTGTTGTCACTGAGTTAAGTCTGACTGAAAGACACTGTAGAGCACTAGGGTACAACTGCTAGAATAGAACTACTCCATAGCAGTTTCAAGGCTGTACATTTATTATTATTATTATTATTATTACTCATTCTACATTTGCTTGGGAAATATCACTAACATACAAACACTTTTTGCACTGACTGGTAGGACTGTGAAGATTTTCTTTTTTCCCTAATCTGTATTCTCTATTTTTCAAAAACAATGAATATGTGTTACATATTAAACTATTTTTAAAATAAGATAAAATGTTTTTTTAAAGGAAGAGCATTGTTGTGGCCTACTCTTGAGTGGCCCTTGACTCATGACCATCCCATGCACAATGGACTAAAACGTTGCCTAGTTTTGTGTCATCCCCATGATCAGTTGTGAATCAGACTATCATGATCCATAGGCTTTTTTTTTTTTTTTTTCTTAAACTTATTATCATTTGAGTGAAAATTTTACAGAGCTGTTTGGTTTTCCATTCAACAATTCATACAAATTTTGTTTTGGAACATTGGTTGCAGTCCCCACAATGTAACAGCCCTCTTCCCACTTCCTCCCTAAGTTCCCATTTCCATTTTTCTTTCTTTCCTGCTCCTTTCAGGCTTCTGAGCTTTGTTTTTTGGATAAATGCTGCCATTTTGTTCTCATGTGGTTAGTTCTGAGAAGTACATTTCTCATGGGTATTAATGTTCACTTTTTATTTTTATTTTTCCTTCACCCAAATTAGTATGTGTCTACTCTCCAGTTAGTAGTTTACCCTCCCTTTCTCACCCACCCCTGGTAACCATCAAATAATACTTATTTTTTTTGTGAAACCTTTCACATATAATATTTGTCCTTTTGTAATTGGCTTCTAAGTTCATCCTTGCTATGAGATGTTTTTGTTGTTGTTATGTGCCATTGAGTCGGCTCTGACTCATAGCGACCCCTCCTTGGGTTGCTGAGGCAGTATCACTACGGAAGTAGATTGCCCAACCTTCCTTCTGAGGAGTGGCTGGTGGGTTTGAACCGCCAGCCTTCTGGTTAGCAGTCAAGTCTGGTTAGGCACTATGCTACCAGAGTTCCTTAAGATGTTTTATAGAGTCATTATTAGTCTTTTACGTTGCATAGTGTTCTGTTGTATCTATGCACCATAGTTTGCTTATCCATTCGTCCACTGGCATTTAGGTTTTTCTGTCTTTTTGCTATTATAAATAGTGCTGCAGTGAACACAGTTGTACATATATCTGTTCTGGTCACAGCTCTTGTTTCTCTAGGATATATACATAGTAGTGGGGTTGCTGGATCATATGATTTTCTATTTTCATCTTTTTAAGGAAGCATCATAGCATTTTCCACTTTGGTTGCAACATTTTACAGTCCTACCAGCAGTGTATGAGGATTCAAGTCTCTCTGCATACCCTCACCAGCATTTGTGGTTTTCTGTCAGCAGCGGTATCTGGGTAACATCTAGTTCTGCTCTCGTGGTCATGGAGGCTGGGGCTCATATGGTCTGTTAGTTCTTTGGATTAATTGTTTTCTTGCATCTTTGATTTTCTTCACTCTTCTTTGCTCCAGATAGGGGGAGATCAATATTTGCACATTAGATGGATGCTCACAAGCTTTTAAGACCCCACTTAATAACTGTTATACAAATTGACTTCAATAAAAAATAAAAAAAAAGGAAGACAAAATTGGAGTGGTGGTAAAGAGGTCAGATAATCCCCCTCTTGATCATCATCTATGTTCCTCCCACCACCTGGTCCATCATCCCTTTATAAGGAAAAATATAGTTTTAGTTTCTTACTATGGAAATTACAGTATGCAATTAAATGACTATAGTTTTATGTCCCCAGGTCCATAAAGCTATAAATCTTTACAGAAGCAGACTGTTACATCTTTCTTCCATGGAGCAGTGGGTTCAAACTGCCCACCATTTGGGTAGTAGCCGAGGACTTAACCACTGTGCCATTATCTTTCAGTGATATAGCCCCTATAGCCTCTTATGCTTTCCTTTTCCAATTTTCCTCTCTTATAATACATTATTTACAGTGGAAATTGTTTTTGTCAAAATGAAAATTAAGTCTTATTACTCTTCTACTTAAAAGCTTTAACATCCCATTAAATTCAAAATAATGTCTGAAATCATTGAAGGATTACCAAGGCCTCACTTGATCTTGCACCAGATCTCCAGGCTAATCTTACACCATTTTCCTTTTCACTTCCTTTAGTTTCCTTAATGTTCCATGCTTCCTTTCTCAGGACCTTTGCACATGATGTTTTCTCTGTATGGAATCATGCCTGCCTTTCCTCTTTCTTCTTCCATCATTCTCCCTTACTATACATCTTTTTGATAAAAATGATTATAGATTTTTTTTTTCTTGAGCATTATTATGTGCCAGATACTGTCCTAAGCATTTTGCATGTATTAACTCATTTAAATATCACTAAAAGCCTATAAAAAAGATACTCTTGTTGTGTGTATGTCTCTCAGATTAAAAAACTGAGGTATAGAGAAGTTAAATTCAAGGCTACCAAGCTGGCAGTAGTGGAGCTTTGGTTAAGCTGTGGGGAAAATAGCTTTAAAGGTTGGCCCACTATTAAAAAAAGACATTTGATTCTCCAAATTACATTGGAGTCTATTGTGAAATATTAATTCACATTACAGTTATGATAAAATAATTGTGGAATATGTTATTTAGTCTGTCTTCTGGACTAGAATGAAATCTCCATGGGATCAGGGACCATGTATTCCTGTTGACCACTGTATCTTTAAGCAACTAGTATGCTGCCTGGGTTAGGGCATCCATAATGGTTGTCAAATTAATGAAGATATTGAGAGCTATCCTAGAGCATAGACTCTATCTGTGTAGCTTTGTCTCCTTATGCAGTTCTGGCACAAAGATCTTTAATTATTAGCTAGTTAATG